GTTTCACTTTTCTACTATAATGATCAACTCGACTCCATTGATTTCACCGCGATCCAAGAATTCCCAGGAGTGCTCGAGTACATTCCCGTTGCGTCACGCAGCGCGACCGGATATAGAGAGCAGATCTATTCTACCCAGCTCATGAGTCTTACGATCGACGGCAGCGTCTTGGAACAAGCCCACCAGGACCGACAGGATGTCCGAGCTGTCTCTTGAGGCTCTCTACGACGTCATTGGTTCTCTGCTGCAACCGATACACAGGAAGGTTGCCGAGACCAATCGTTCCGGGTCAGTGCGACTCCACATGTATCAAGAACGTAAACCTCCGTATACGTTACAAAGATTTTGCGTTGAAGGTCCGGCGCGGCGAACGGATAGACATTGGAGTGTCGATCGAGTGTAGGAATTTCAAAAGCGGGCGACACGGACGATCCTGCCGCATCTTCGTAAGAAAGATGCTTATGGACGTTGAAGTGTCGATCGAGTCGAGGAATCTCGTAGGCCGGCGAAACAGATGATCTTCCTGCACCGGCGTCTCCTGGATATTGATGATGAAGTTGATATTCGGAGGATTCGTGTCGAGATCGTTTTCGGAAGCCGTGCTCGTCAGGTCCGACTCGCCCTCATCGTTTACCTCAATGACCTAGAAGCCCCGCCCAATGTCAGCCTCCTCGCCCACGGAATGCGCGGTCTCCGTGGGCGGGCCTCCTGCTGGACATGCAGGAGACATCATATTTCCGCAACATTGTATCAAACCGATTAAGCCAGCGGTTCTAGACAGTATCGTCTCCTCGAAGAGATGGCTGCACCAACAGAAGATACTGAACTCATACTGGGAAAAATATCAAAAACAATATCTACTTCAGCTCCGAACAGCCCACAACAGACTACCGTAGGAGGCTCGGCCCTTGAAGGTTGGAGATATTTGCCTGCTGGAAGACACCGACCTCAAGAGGGCAATGTGGCCCCTCTGCAGAGTGGTATCCTTCCCTGATACTGTCCCTGCAGAGAATTCAAGAACATGCACAGTTCAAACGGCAGGGGACAACTAGAGCTATCAAGAAGCTATACCCTATAGTTCCGGGTGCATTCAAACCCGAATAAATCAACCACGGCCTCGGGCACATTCTCACCCAGAACTCTGAGAGGGATCAAACACTCCTCGGAAGGGAAAACTCATCAAAACAATCATAATACAAGACATTTATTGCAATCATTAATAAGGAAAATTCTATCTCGGCCGGGCCGTCTCAGGGAAGTTCGGCCCAGCTGGGGGTCCGAACCGCCGAGCGTTGAAACGCGCGGTGCGCTCCTCCCGTCGAGTTTGCCGCCGGGCGGCCCTCTCCTTCCTGATCTCCTTTCGCCAGGCGACCCGCCGGTCGTGCACCTCGAGCTTCCAGGGGGTCTCCTCGGCTACGTATCGCCTGACACGCTCGGCGTGACCATCACTTGTGGTCTCGCTGTCCTCGAGCCAGCTGGACGGACTCTCGGACTCGGACGTCTCCGCCACCTCGAGCCCGAACCGGGCGAAGACTCTCTTGCGAGCCTCCACGTAGTCCGGGGGTGTTTGGCCGGGCCGCACGAGCCCGAGCTTCCCGGCGTGCGTCCAAGACCCACGGACAAGAACCATAACTTGCGCCGTCAACTCGAAGGGCCCTTCCTCGTACAACACACGCTCCTGAACGCACGGCGTCTGGACGGTGGCGCCGAGCGCACTCGGATCGGCAGCGTGAGCTGCGCTCGCCTCCTTCAGCTTCCGGATGTACTCTTCGAAATGCCATGGGTACGGCACAAGGAACCTGAGAAGGAATAGAAGATTTGAAATATATACACAACATCGAGAGTAAACTAAGAAAAAATATATATCGACTAGCGTACCCTGCCGCGTTGCACCGCGGCTTTCAGCCTATGTCCCACATTATTGAAGCTATCCATGATGCCATTCAAATTCTGACATTCTTTGCAGAATCAGGCTGGGTAATGATTGTTGTTATGGCATGACCAACGCCGTTGGTTTGATATCCATTCGTGGTTGTGAGAATTGAAGTCCTCAGTGTGTTGATTCCCGACTTGGGAATCTTTTATTCCGTGAGCTGATTAGTGAAACCGGTTAGGTCGCTTGCGAATCGGGTCACTGAAGCTCGAGCTTGGTCTTCGAACGTGATATCGCTTTTTCAATCGCAGTTGATAGAACTGAGCTCTTTCCATTCAGTCGCTTGCCTTGCAATCTGTTTCAGGATTAGGCTTTTTCAGCATTTTCCGTTGACAATAGGACGAATGTGTCGTGATTATCGAGCTCACTCCCCGAGTGGGTTATTTATCGGCGGTTTCGGAATTTCAAGTTCTTCGAATTCTTCATATTGACCCTCACGGATCCACCAATTCTGTAATCCTTTCATGTTTACATCGTCTTCTTCGTGCTATCGGTCGCCGCTAGACCTTTTTGCCAGCATACTCTCGGTGCTCTGCACGACGATGACAGCTGCTAGCGAGCTCATCGGATCGAAACAGGGCGAAAACTCCCGTAACCCGCGAGTGCTGATAGTCCTCCGGCAGCGATTCACGGAAGGATTACTCAACTTTCGAAATGGGGAATCGACCATCCTTTCTGTGCAGATCGAACATGGATACTGCCCGTGACTCGATGAGACGTTCGGCGGAGATATTTGAGACTTTCGTAAAACATTCCCGAGAGCTTGGATGCCGCGCCGAGCGATTCCCCAACGGCGCTGCTTCATATTTCATGGGTCGCGTAGTGAAGATTCTATCGAATGTTCAGTTCGAAAGAGGGGAACCTCAGTCGAAGAGGAGATCTTTCGAGATTTTGAGGAATTAGCAGCTAGCGAGCCGAGGCGAAAAACCAGCCGTGGACCCTGCGTCGAGTTTCATCAGGCTCTTGAGTGTCCCTCAAAGATGAGCTCGCTCCCAAATGATTTCGTCTTGGACGGCTCGGGGCTTTCTTGGATGCGCGATAGGAACCTTGATTATTAGGCCGCCACCGTGGGTATACTCTACACGGTCCCGGTGGGCCCATTCTTTCTCATATCCTCTACCGCCAGGGGACGGATTCCCGCGACTTCTTCTGATGAAGCAACCGACACATTTCGCTGCTGATTCTGAGGCCGATTTCGAGCTTGTACTCAGTGCTATTGCGAGCATTCATTTTGATTCGTCGCTCTCCTTCGGAGCCGAATATTCCACCGCACAGAAAATAGTCAAGAGCCCCCACGATTTCGAAAAGGTCCAATGAATGAATGATTCTCACCGCACATCCCCATCTCCGGGACTGGAAGCCTAACATAGGTTTGGGTGTATCAAATCTTCTCAGGGCCGGAACTCGCCACGATGGCACGCAAGAGCCGAAGAGTGAAAATTTCACTAATACAAACATCTCTGACTGAGAGATTCAAAGGTGATGGATCCCAAGGTGATGGTGATCCCATCTTGACGAAAGCTGCTCCACATTTTCGCTCCGACGTGCGACTCGTTTCTTTCGAGCTTCACGGGTCGATTGACCGATAAAGGGCCGTTTCGGTGGCATATTGTCTAGCTCGCCTCACAGTATGTATAATCTACGTACTTTGATAGAAAAAGGACAGAGTTGAACAATCACATCACATTGAATAAGACGTTCACCCGTTCGTGTTCATAACCGACTGAATCCTAATCACTCCTGAACGTAAGCGCTAAAGAGCGCCCGCAGCTGCACCATTCATAATGATCAGAAAACGATGATGTGAACCAGAACGGAGGGAAAATTGAGCTCCAGGGAAAACTATCAATGTTCGAGGGGATTCTTTTAGCCTATGAACTTCTCTGTGCGGAGGCGGATGTTTCGGTAAAATCTGAGGATTTAGGCTTGCGTAGTTCAAGAGCGCATACGGGACATCCAAGTGCATGTAAGTTATTTTTATGTATAGAGACATTTTTATGTATAGAGATTATTATCAACACGATGCAAAGAAAACTCACCTCAACATCCGCGGGAGGTCAGGATAGGCGGCAGGGCCGAGCACCCGATCGTAGAGTTCGGCGTTACGCTGAACGACGGAAGCACGACGGTAGAGCTCTTTTTCGAGCAGGGTACACTCCTCCCACGCTACTCGGGAAATGGTTTTACTGAGCGGTACCACTCGAAGTAGGGTTCGGTCGCCGCCAAATCTTGACGGAAGGTCCCGAAGGGGGAAGTCTCGGGACTTCCGTTCCGCCGAGCAGACCAAGGGACAGGCACTGCCGGATTCATCTCGACACAAAGAAAAGATCCGTCTGAATCGACTGGAGACAAGACGAAGAGTGACAACTCCATCGCGGACGAAAAGCGGCTGGGCGGGAAAGCGGATGGGGGTGGAAGGCGCGGAAATGAAACATGAAGCGAAAACCGGACCGGCGGTCCTTGTCGCGGACCTCTAGCGGTCCGCGGACCACTGGTTGCCGATTGCTGCTCTAGAGGACTCTAGAGTGAACACATCCAGCCTCGCTGGTGGCCCGCGCAGCACTACTGGCTACGTGAGAGTTTTTATTTGGAAAACTGCCGTCTGCGAGAGCGGACGGGAAGTCATATTGGGCGGTCGCTCCGCAACAGAATTCAGGCAAGCTTCCTTACAAGAACGTGCGACGGTTGTAGCCGTGCGCCGTAGAAGCCACACCGGCATCGCCTGCTACGCCCCGGGTCCCAGGTTCAATCCCCAGGCCAGCCGATATTTCCTGAAGGGTAATTGAGATTCCCAATCGTGAAGACGTGAGATAGGTCAAGGCTCGCTCTCTGAGAGAAACAGCGGGAACGCTGCTGCCCTCCCCGGCTCCAGGCCTCACAACTGAGGTAGTGGCGGAAACAATACTATGGCTTCGTTTTTATCCATCGCCGACGACTGACAATGAATGCGGACATCTCCGGTCGCGAGCCTCGTCTCAATACATTATCGCATCCTAACCAATAACGAGGTGTTAGGACTGGCTGAATCTCCATAATCTGAATCTCCATTTGAGTTGAACTCCCTACCATGCTAAATCCCCGAGTTCAGTTGTCGGAGCTCGTGCGCGAATTCGGAGATGACATCTTCATGTGCAATGCGACGACGCTGATCTGCACAGCGTGCAATAAGACATTTCCGAACGCCAGACGCTTCAACCTGAGCCAAGACTCAAGAACAAGCTCGCACAAGAAAGCATTGGAGCGGCTGCGAAGACGACAGGCAGAAGAATCGCGTTTGCAGGCTGCAATCTGTTCGTCCGATTTACCATCCTTCCCCATGGAACTATGTGACGCCTTCTTGGCTGCGGACATCCCTCTTTTCGAGCTTGAAAACCCGATCCTGAGGACTTTCTTGGAGAACACCACGACGAAATTGATCCCGAACGAGTCTAGGCTGAGAAATTTCCACGTCCATGAAATCTACCAGCGGAAAATGCAGATTATCCGAGAAAGCATCGGTAGTTCGAGCAGTCGGATTTCGATAGACGAAACCATTGACTTCATGGGAAGAAACTTCGCTCATGTACTCATTGGTTCCTTGAACAAAGAAACTGCCGGTCTTCCGTACATCTCCAATTGTGAGATTGTCGATGGGACCAATGCGCATACGGTCTTGAGAGTCTTTTACAGGAGGGTGGAGGATCTATGGCGAACCGACGTTCAACACGAGCGAGTTCTACTGTTTGTAGCCGATGCCGCCCCATACACGGTGGCTGCCGCGCGAAGCCTGAAGGTGCTATTTCCAAATATGATCCACATAATATGCATCGCCCACGCGATCCATCGGGAGGCGGAGCAGGCGCGGAAAAGTTTCCTAAAGGTGGATAGATTGATTTCGACACTTTAAAAAAACTTGATTCCGGTTCGGCCAAGGGCCAAACCGAAGTTCGCGTAGAACTACGGAGAATGCGTTCGTTGAGAATGAGTCGAACACCCAAAGTGATGTGCAGGTGTCGAACTCATACACGATATGCTCCGAGAGAGAGCAGCGGACGCATTCATTTTAACGGCGTTTGTCGGCTAGTCTCGCCGGAGCACTCCGCCTTAGCGAGAAGTCATAGCCGATGACATGGGTCATGATCCCGTCTCACAATCTGAATCGTATGTGCGACAGATGAGATCCAAATTAAAAAAGCAGGAGAGCCGTACCCACGATGTGTTCGAGTATACTATAATTTATTGAGGAAGGGATGATCATCCCCGCGCGTCCAAGAGATCAAGCCCACGGAGTCTCGTTCCTCCAACTCTGAGATTGCTTCTGACACGGCGGAGGCTGATTGGATTGACGAAGAGCTCCTCGGACTTCCGCAAAATGAACAGGAGCCGCCATCGGCCGCCCCCGCCGGCAATTGTGTCCACTACGTTCCACTAAAAGTCGAAGGTCCCGTTTCGGGAATGAACGACATCAAGAATTTCGATTTCACCGAAAACCAAGTCGATTACTAGAATCGGCACTGTCATCATATTGGACTGAGGGAATCTCCCTTGGTTCCTTCACCATTCATTCCTGCCAGCGCGGCTTCGGAGAGGAGCGGCCGCAACTGAGGCGCATTGATTCCTGATACCAATGGGTGCGGCTGCCAGAGAACAGCCGCGGCGGCGAACGCAGCGCGCAACACGACGAACGCAGCTACGGGTCAAATAGATCCGCCTTGACGCCTATATCTTCCCGCTTGCATGGGACTTGCGACACGGTTGAGAGCAATGTTCTTGCTGTGCAACACTCGAGTTAGGAATCCACGACGAATTTTGTCTAAAGGCAAACACTGAGCGCTCCACCTCGTGGGAGGAGATGTTGAACTTCTTTGGACTGGACCGCAGAAACAGAGATTGAGGTTTCGGAAAACTGCATGATTCCACAATAGCAGAGCTCGACCTTATGCCACCACTCAAAGGCGCTACACACTCGAAGACCCGTCAATCATTGACCCAGCCTACCAGGGAGCCAATGCAGTAGACCGTGAACGCCAAGCGCCATATGATCTATTTTGAATTTCTACTCCTCTTCGCGCGCTTCCGGTGCGCTCAGTGGGGGAGCTCTTGTGTGAAACGGGGGTGCGCAGAGAGTCGCGTACATGGACGCCGAGCTTAGTTCGTAGGTTTCCGACCTTGAGACAGTTTTCCGAGTCTTTTGACGCCGATTCCTGTTTGACAAAAAACGGTCACTTCCGTCATGCGAGGTGTTCACCGATGGCCCCTCTAACGAGCGCAATGACGTAGTTCTACGTCAAAATCTTCCTCAAAGCTCCGCTCCGAGTAGAGGCCTTCCGATCCGAGCTCGTGGGAACTCCCCTGCCGCCGAAACCCATCGTAACACGTTGGGGCACGTTGGGGCACGTGGATGAATGCAGCTTTGTACTACGCGGAGCACTTCGACGCGATCAGAGGCTTCATCAATCGCCATTTGGATCTGTCAGACGCGGCGACGATCGGGGGAGCGCAAAGCTTGTTTGATTTAGAATCGCTTCGGCACGACTTGATCCTAATATCAGCGAATTTGCACTCCTTGCCGAAGACAATTTTTTAGCTGGAGACCAGCGGTGCGTCGCTCCAAGAATCTCTCCGGCACCTGAGCGATTTCGAGCTCAGGATGGACTTCACGTGTCACCACAAGCTGTACCCGGTCCCACAGAAGCTGCAGCTTGTTCTAGCACGCAACACAGGTTTGGAATCCTCAGGACAAATCCAGGGTATACTCGACGGTACTTCTTCTTGGGAGGAGTCGCCCATCGCTTCGGAGTTCAGTGTGGGACAAGTGCCTCACTTCGAGTGTGCACCTATAGTATCATGTGACGTCGAGGAGCTTCTCCGTTTCCAAGAGCATCTTTCGCGAGAATCGGAATAGCCTCACGCCGGCTCATCTGAAGGAATATGTGGTCAATGCCTGCAAGAAAGTAGCAGTCAATTGAGCATCAAAAACATGTTTTTCTTCTTCGGTCCCCCGACTCTTCCCGATATGGAATCTTGTCCGCTCATGTTCGCTGCCACTGGCTTGAGGTACCGCGGAATTCCGATCCCATAGAATGCTCGAGCACACCTGGTCGAATCCCTTCCAAGGCTCGAGTCTCTGTGCTGCCTCGAATCGGGTATTTCGGAATCGCTTTCTGGAGCTTCCAATTGCGCACGCTGCTTGACACTCTCGTGTAAATTCGTACATGATTCCGCTTATGTCGCGCATATTCCCTCATATATCGAGCATATTCCTGCATTTAATGCGCATAGATCCACGTATATCTATGCGTGCATTTCGCATTTTTCCGCGCATAATTCCAAGCATGAAAATCCGAGCCTTGTTGATGACCGTGCTATCGGTCGTCGCTAGGACTTTGTTGCCGGCATACTCTCGGAAAATCAAATTTTTCATCGCCAAGTATTTGCCTTCGATGTTTGCAAAATTGTGGGAATTATCCCATATCCGGAGGCCAAAGTCACACACGATCCCTATGACATCTATGGGCTTAATCGGCTCCATACGTAATATTTCCATCACTTTGATACTTTCGATTGTTGTCTCTGGCAGGTTTTCCCTTGGTTCGCTTTGATTTGACGTAACTGTAAACAGTAGATTTTCGATTCATTGTTGTTCCGTATAGAGAGCGAATGGAGCTTCGTTATTCATTTACTCCCCAAGATATGTATTCCTTTTATTTAACCTTAGTCAAGTGAATCTCAAGTTGATTATTCGTCTTGTTATACAACGGATTTCTCTTGTGCAGATTAAATGCATTGATTCGATAGCAGTTTCCGATTCTAATTTCTTCATGGATGGTCACGCATCGTTCTCCTGATGCTACGACCTGGGCGGATCCTGAGCTGTCGTCCATGCCGACCGAAAATAGTTCACCATTTTTTCCGTTCTTCTTCCAATTTTTCCGTTTTTTTTCCCGATGCGGACGTTTTCGGATGGAGTTCGCCCTCCGATATTGATCTCCGTGTTTCCGTGAGTCTGACCTCTTCGAGGTAGTGGTCCCCCCACACGAAGGTCTGTGATTCATCCATGTATGAGTCGTACAGAGCTTCCGGACGCGCTAATCTGATGTTTCTGTACTGTCCTTGTTTCTTGATACTTTTCGCTGCGTTCGCCATGCTAGGCCGTGCTAGTAGGTCTTTGTGGACGCTTCCCGGCTGACATTCGATCGGGAACACATATTTCACTCGTTCATCACTTCGCCCGATTGATTCGACACACACCACGCATTTTCCCTTGTCGATAGTCTTCGCTTCCAGCCGTATAATCACATTCGTCGTCATTCTTCGATTTCCGATCGGGGAGCCGTCGGAAAAAATCGATTTCTAAGTCGTTTTTATCTTCTTCGTAGAGAACACGCGATCGATGCTTCTTAAATGAGGATCTTTGTTTATCAGGTCCCTTCTAGGGATTGACTCGGCGGGACTCAATCTCTGGGGTGTAGACAATCGATTCGAACAAGAAAAGATGGGAAATGCATACCTGAAATGAGAATCGATTTTTACGTTCGTTCTCCCGTCTTGATTCTATCGGTCAGCGATTTCCCTAACACACCTCTGGGTACTTCCACTCTGCTTACCACCGGAGGTCGTCGTCTGCTGGGCGGTACTAACGATAAGGCGCCCTCTAACTCCAAGGAGTTACAGCGAGGAGGATTTCGACAGCACTCTGCCGTGAACTATACCGCCGTGTTTGCTTAACTCCAAAGTCTTCAGGCGCTTCGATTTCGTCGTCATCGTTGTCGCCTTGTTTTCCCGATCTAAAGTTTCAAAGTGATGCGTGGCTAAATATTGTTGGACCAGCGCCCTCTCTTCGTGTGCCATCCTCCAGGGATGGAGACGCTGTTCGAAACAAATAGGTGAAATTGGAAACGTTAACGAGGCTCATGCGTTTGAGAAACGATTCCTCTTTGATGCCTGGATAGTGGATAAGTCGCGTAGCATGGGGTGTAGAAATCGTTCCATAACTGAATGCTGTTGACGGTGAGTTGTAATTAGTCCTCTTGATTTCGATGAACTTCATCGATTGGTTGCGAGGGGAGATTCGTTGTTTCGGAGCTTCGAACTTCACTCATGATAAGGTGGCGAAACCAAAGTCACGGATATACGGAGGAAGAAACTCCGGTTCCTCGGGTGGAAAGATGCGAGCGAAACGTGATTTCAACCAAATGAATCTATCATCAGTGAATAGTGGCGCGTTGGACGGGTTAGCAATACTCATAGCAGCGATTCCTGTCCCCGCAACATTGAGCATTTTGAGTCCTCTCGATGTCGCCAAATGATGAATTGTCGTGTGAACGAAAGTTTTGCCGCTCCCTCCGGGACCGTCGATGAAGAAACGTTTGCCTCGAGACTTTTCCGTGGCCGTCAGAACGGCATCAAGGACCATTTTTCGCTCGGAATTCAATTTTTGGTAGAGTTCGTTTCCAGGCTTGTTATGCTCCTGCAGACTGATAGGCGCCACGGTGTCTTTCAATTCGGGAATATCGAGGGGCAGGACGTTAGTATAGTTTTTTCCGAGCTCTGAAAGTCGCTGTGCGGTTTCGAAGAAAGCCTTAGAGTCCGCCGCGACTGTTGGTTGGTCTGCATGAATGAAATCTTCTATGAGATCCGATTTGAATTTTTCCCAAAGTTGTACTGCATGTGGGAGTTGTACGTATGTCGGCAAAGGTGAGCAGAGCAACGAAGAAGCTCCGTAACTGACGCGGGGCGAAGCGCTCATGATCTTGAGGGCTTACGAAATACATGCTTCCGATTGTCCGGCTTCCACCGCGTTGACGTTCCTGCCAGTGCCGGTTCTTGAACACGAACTTCTCGGGCATCTCGTGATACCGGAGTATTCTAGAGTCTATGAGGTCGCCTGGAAGGGTTCCGTTTTCC